GGGGCAGGGCGTGGGGCGCGCCATTCGCAGGGCGAGGCGCAGCGTGGCGCAAGCCTGAGCTCTCACAGCAGCAGTTTGGGCAGTGCGGCAGGCGCGCAGGCGCTAATGAGTCCTGCCGCCCTGCCCCTGCACAGCACCGCGTGCACAGGCCAGCCAGCGAGGGGCCACACAGCGCTGAGCCAGCATGCGCGACACGCAGCAAGCATGATGCCACTGCCACACGCGCGCGACCGCGCTTCGCGACGTCCGCAGGTCACCCACAGTTAAGTTCCCGGCTGAAAAGCTGGGGGATATCCTCGCGCAATGTGCGAATGGCGTCACCGACGTTGGCGTAGTAGTCTGGCGTCCGCTCGCGCTGTTCTGGCGGTGTTTGCTGCTGCTGCTGTTGCTGCTGCCCCGACCCCGCGGCGAGCACGGCGGCCCCCGCAGGCGACTCCCCGCCGTCGAGCGTGACCAGGAAAAAGCTCCGCGACCAGTCAAGGGGCGAGGCCGCCCACAAGCGCTCAAGATTGAGGCGGGCTTCATCACTGGTCGCGCCTGCCCGGCAAGACGGCCCCGGCCCCGAGGTGGAGCAGCCGGCCTCATCCTCGCCGAGAGGGGAGCACTCTGCAGGCCTATCCGCGAGCTTATAGCGTCGAACGAGCCGTCTGGCCGTGCGAAGAGGGCCCGTGCTGGCCCCTGTGGCGCACTGCCAATGGCTCTTGACACCGAGACGCATACTATGCGCCATGGACACCCAGTGGAGCTGCAGAGCTCCTGCAGGGACGATCTATATGCGCCGATAGGGGATCGGGGGGCTCAGGGGCCTTTGCTGCGGTGGTGGATTGCTGTTCAGACAATTGATGGATATCAATGACGCAGTAGCAGCCTGAATGTGACACCCACATCAGGAGCATCAACACGGGCAGCAGGGAAACGGTGAGTGACCAGGTGTGCTCACCAGCAGAGCAGCATACCAGGTAGCAACGCACCCCTGCCCTGGATCACAGGCTGCCGTTCACTGTTCACCGCATACACACAAAATTGACCTCACCCCGTGCACTTTTTGAGACATCCCTGCTGTGGTGCACGATCTGGAATTCTTCTCTGTGTGTTCTCTTCCCCACTTGTCTACACGCTCTTTGCCATCAACTTTGCTGGCACCCCCGCATGGTGGGCAGTGACCTCCGTGGCAACGTCCTCGGCTGGCTCAACAGCACCATGGGCGGCAGCGGCGGCATGGCCGCCAACCAGCGCTTTGTGGAGGCGTTTGTCAAAAGCTTGGGCGTCATTGGGGCGTCGGAGATCGGGGATAAGACCTTCTTCATTGCCGCGATCATGGCAATGCGCCATCCGCGGCTGACGGTGCGTCGGAGCTGCGCGCACACCCGCATGCTCGACCATGCGCACGGGCAGTACAGTCAGGAAGCCACGTGTGCGCCGGGGCTGCAGCAGTACGTCCGCAGGGCAAACGGTCAGCTGCAGGGCTAGTAGTTGCCCGGCGGCACCTGCAGCGGCGGGGCGCAACGTTTGACCGGTCGGTGCGTGCTCCTGCGCCCTGCGCACGCCCGCGCCTCATCACGCGCCAACCGCTGCCTGTGCGGTGCGCCGGCGCAGGTGTTTGGCGGCGCCATCGGCGCCCTGGCAGTGATGACTGTGCTTGCTGTGGCGCTCGGCTGGGCCGCACCTGCGCTGGTGAGCGGCCGCAGACGTGTGCCTGTGGCTTGCACGCATTGAGCAGCGCATCGGCAGCCCGTGCTCTTTGCAAACCCCACTGTGGCGTGGTGTCGGCATTGTTGAGCAGCACGCGTACTCACATCCTAATCTGAGCTGCTGCTGCTGCAAGTCCCCCGCGCCTGCGGGGCATCCCGGCCCCTGGCAGCGCAGCCGCAGAACCCGCCCGCGCCTGATCACCTGCCTCTAGCGGCTGCCGACCGCACTGTCGGGCCCCAGGCGGCCCGTGCTCTCCAACCCCACCGTTTCATCGGCCCCCTTGATACCCCCCTGCACACACAAACAAATACACCCAGATCCCCAAGGTTTACACGCACTATGCGGCCACGGCACTGTTCTTCTTCTTTGGGTTCAAGACCCTCTGGGACGCCTTCCACCACGAGGGGGTGAGCTCAGGAACCCCCCCCCCTTCTGCCCAGAGTCGCGCCACGGTGGCGCCAGGGCGGCCGGGAATGAAAGGTCCCCGCTGCGCGCGGGGCGCCCCCTCAAGGGGCGGCTCAGGGGCAGTCGTGGCTCTGTCC